TTAAATCTCTTTCCTTTATAAATTACCTAGTCTTTGTTAGTTCTTTATAGCAGTGTAAAAATAGACTAATACAGTGCATATTTATTTACAATCATTATATCCTCTTGCTGGATTGACCCCTTTATCACTATATAATGACCTTCTTTGTCTCTTCTTACAGTTTTTTTTTCTAGAAATGTGTTTTGTTTGATTAAATGTGGCTACTTCTGCTCTGTTTTGTTTACACTGACCTGGAATATCTTTTTTCATCCCTTTATCTTCCGTCTGTTTGTATCTTTATATGTGAAGTGTGTTTCTTATAAGCAACAGATCATTAGGTCTTGTTTTTTAATTCATTCAGCCACTTTATTTCTTTTGATTGGAGAGTTTAGTCCATTTACATATAATGTTATTATTGATAAGTAGAGACTTACTCCTGCCATTTTGTTACTTGCGTTCTGGTTGCTCTGTGGACTTATCTTCCTTTTTTCCTTCCTTGTCTTCCTTTTAGTGAACGTGATTTTCTCTGGTGGTATGATTTAATGTCTTTTTATATTTTGTGTACCCATTGTATTTATTTCAATTTGGCATTATTACAAGGCTTGCCAATACAATCTTATAACCTGTTATTTAAAGCTGATGGCAACTTCACTTTTCACTGATTGCATAAAGAGACAAACACACAAAAAGTACCCTAATAAAAACTCTACACTGTAAATTTATCTCCCCAATTTTAAACTTGCTGTTGTTTTTATCTTTTTGTACTATCTATGTCTGGAAAAGTTTCTGTAGTTATTATTGATTGGTTCATTAGCCTTTCTACTTGGTATGTTTATACACTCCAATTGCAGTGTTATATCAGTCTGTGTTTTTCTGTGTGCTTACTATTACAAGTGAGATTTGTATCTTCAGATGGTTTCTTCTTGCCCATGAACATCCTTGTCTTTCAGATTGTAGAGCTCCCTTTAGCATTTCTTTTAGGACAGGTCTGATGTTGATGGTATCCTTTAGCTTTTGTTTGACTGGGAAGGTCTTTAAATCTCCTTTATGCTTAAAGGATATTTTTTCTGGGTATACTATTATGGAGTAAAAGTGTTTTTCTTTCAGCACTTTAAATATATCATGCTGCTCTTGTTCCCTGTAAGATTCCCACTGAAAAGTCTGCTGCCAAACTTTTTGGAGCACCATTGTATGTTATTTGTTTCTCTTCTCTTGCTGCTTTTAGGATCCTTTCTTTATTCTTGACCTTTAGATTATTAAATGCCTAGAGGTAGTCTTTGGGTTAAATCTGCTTGCTGTTCTGTAACCTTCTTTTACTTGAAATTGATATCTTAAGATTTGGGAAATTATCTGATTATTGTTTTGAATAAACTTTCTACCCCTCTCTTTTTATCTACTTCTTCTTTAAAGCTATTATCTTGTAGATTTGCCTCTTTGAAGCTGTTTTCTGATTTTGTAGGCATGGCTCATTGTTTATTATTCTTTTTGTTTCTCCTCTATGTATTTTCAAATAGCCTGTCTTCAAGCTCACTACTTCCTTCTTGATCACTTCTACTGTTAAGAGACTCTGATGCATTCTTTAGCATGTCATTTGCATTTTTCAGTTCTAGAATTTCTCTCTCTCTCTCTCTCTCTCTCACACACACACACACACACACACACGAGTTTGTTTGCTTGTTTGTTCGTTTGTTTTGAGACTGGGTCTGGCTCTGTCACCCAGGCTGCAGTGCAATGGTAGGATCTCGGCTCACTGTAACCTCCACCTCCACCTCCACCTCCCAGAATTATTCTGCTTGATTTAAAAAAATTTAAAAAAAAAATCTTTTTGTTAAATTTATCTGATAGAATTCTGAATTTCTTCTCTGTATTGTCTTTAATTTCTTTGAGTTTCCTCAAAACAGCGATTTTGAGTTGTCTGTCCGAGTTGTCCTATGTCTCTGTTTATCCAGGATTGGTTAGTGGTGCTTTATTTAGTTCATTGGTGAGGTCATGGTTTCATGGATGGTGTTTATGCTTGTTGATGTTTTGCAGTGTATTAGCATTGAAGAGTTAGGTATTTATTATAGTGTTCACAGTGTGGGCTTGTTTGTGACTATTCTCCTTGGGAAAGCTTTCCAGGTATTTGTAAGGACTTGGATCTTAACCCTAATAACTCTGTGTCTTTTGCTGACTCATAGAGATACCATTTTGGTGGTCTTACATAAGATGTAGAAGAACTATCTGGATTACCAGCTGGAGGCTCTTGTTCTTTTTCCTTTCTTTCTCTCATATAAACAGAATCTGTCTCTCTTTGCTGAGCCACCTGGAACTGGGGGTGTGGTGATGCAAGTAAGTCTGTGGCCAACACCACTGGGACTGCACTGATTTAGACCTGAAACTTGCACAGCATTGGGTCTTGCCCAAGTTCTTTCCCTTCAGGGCCATGAGTTCCCACAGGCTTCTGTAATGTGCAAAGGTGCTACCTGGGAGCCAGGGATTAGAGTTAAACAGTGTAGCAATTTACCTGATATTCTATTCTACTGTGGTTATGCCTGCACTCAAGCCACAATACAAAGTCTTTACTAACCTTTCCTTTACTTTCTACCAGCAGAGGTGCTTCTCCCTGTGGCCACTCCTACTATCAATAGGCAGTTCCTCCAGGCCACCACTGATACTTACTGAGAGCCTAGGCGCTCTTCAGCCAGCTTGTGGTGAATGCTGCCAGGCCTGTGACTCACTCTTCAGGGCAGTGAGCTCCGCTCCGTCCCAGAGCAGGTCCAGAAATGCTGTCCAAGAGCCTAAGCCTGGACTTTGGGACCCCGAGAGCCAGCTTATTGCTCTGCCCCCGTGTATCCAAGCTAGTACCTAGGATGCAAGACAAAATTCCCTTTACTTTTCCCTCTGCTTTTCTGAAACATTAGCAGTATTTCACTGTAGGTACCATAGCTGGGAATATGCTGGGTCACCCCTGAAGCTAGCAAGTCTCAGAGCCCAAGACCCATGGTATATTCCCTTGGGTATCACTCCTGGTTATTCAGGGCCCAAGGGTTCTTTAATCTGCAGGTGATGAATCCTACCAGAACTGGGTCCTTACCTTCAAGGCAGTGCGTTCCCTTTTGGTCCAGGGTATTTCTAGAAGTGAACTATCATCTGAAAGCTAAGGCCTGGAATGAGGCCTCTTGACTCTGCCTGGTGCCCTATCCTACTGTGGCTGAGCTGGTATCCAAGGTGCAAGTCAAAGTTCTCTTTACTCTTTTCTCTCCTTTTCTTAAGCAGAAGGAAGGAGTAACTTTGATTGCTATGAACTTCACTGCCTGGGGTTAGGGCAGGGATGGTGCAAGTACTTGGTTAACCATGCAAGCTGGTGTCTCTCTTAGGTCACATGCCACCCTAGTTCACTGGCCCTAAGCCCAGCCTAGCACTAGGTGTCAACTACTAGCTGCCTAGAAATTTCAGTCTTTGTGTCCTAGACTGCCTTTCAAGCTTATCTAGGATCCCAGAGTACTTTAGCTGCGGTAGAGAAGCTTGCCAAGAAACCAATGTTTGACCCCAGGGATGTGTGATTTCCCCTCTGGCTAGTGCGGGTCCACGTTTCCTCCCTGGGAGGAGCCCAGATGGCTTTGTTCTCTGCTGTGACCTGAGATTCAATGTAAAGTCCCCCAGTTACTGAGCTCTCCTTCCCCATAGTGCAGCTTCTCTCTGTGATGCCTGGCCACTGCTGGGCGATGGGGCAGAGGTGACATCAGTAATTCAGTCTTGTCCCTCCTCAGTGCCTCTTTCTACGATATGAAGTTAAAAACAAGTACTGTGATCACTCACCTGATTTTTGGTCCTGTGATGGTGCTTTACTATGTGCAGATAGTTGTTAAAATTTGGTGTTTCAGCAGGGTGGACAAATGGGATAGGCCTCTATTCTGCCATCTTGCTACACCCTCCTCTGATATCGTTGATTTTTATATTACATATGTCAATTCATACCCTCTTTTGGAAGCTGAGGAAATTAGTCACTTGTAAGTTCCTTTTCTCTCCCCTCACCTCCTAATTTTTAACGTTATATTTTAATTTTCATGTTGTTTATATTTATAACATTCATGTTTACAATCACATTTCTTACAGTACTTGAGTATTTGTTCTTTATTGAAGTGAATTCAATACACACTGTTTTTTTTCCCCCATTTTATTAGTTGTAACTTAATTTCCAGATTCTTTATTTTGACTCAGTTCTTAATTGGTGACATTTCATGGTTATCCTTTTTTCCACAAGGGGCTTATGTATGTTGTAAAATTAAAGTTCGTCCATCTTTAAGAATATTTGCTTGCTGTCTTTATATTTGAATGACACTCTGCTTGACTTTATATATATTTTTTCTGGGTGTGGAAATATATTTTCTCAAATTATTCTTTTTTCCAAATTGGATTTAGCACCAGGCTGTTGCTGACATCAGGGTTCCCTTCTAGGGGCAGGCTGGAAGGCTCTCATTTCAATGGAAGGGCATGAGGCACCTGCTGCCACAGCAGAGAATCAACAAATGGAGAATTGTAACTGTCCCTTAAGAATTGAAGGATTCTTCAAAGTTTGACTATTTGGGGAATACAGACCAAGCATGTGCCCTGATTTTCCATTTCCGAAAGTCACAGTTCAAGTTGTAAATTTCTGGTCAGGTGTGGTGGCACACGCCTGTAATCCCAGCACTTTCGGAGGCCAAGGTGGGTGGATCACTTGAGGTCAGGAGTTGGAGACAAGCCTGGCCAACAAGGTGAAACCCCACCTCTACTAAAAATACAAAAATTAGTGGGGTATGGTGGCACATGCCTATAGTCCCAACTACTAAGGAGGCTCAGGCATGAGAATTGCTTAAACCTGGAAGGAAGAGACTACAGTGAGCCAAGATCATGCCACTGCACTCCGGCCTGGGTGACAGAGCAAGACTCTACCTTGAAAAAAAAAGTTATAAATTTCTGTTCTACAATTTCCATATATAAAAAAATACTGTAGAATTTAATTCGCAGTGTCTTTTCAACAGGAAGAGAAAAAAAACCAGTTCTTCATAGGAGTCTTTTCTTTTTTCATCTTAAATGTCAATGATCACAAAAACTTCTGACTTCTCTGTATTATAGACCTGGATTTCTAAATATGTTATAGCTTTGACTTCTGTTTCCTGAGAGTGCTTGGACAATGAAAATTCTTCTCTCCACCCAATTGATTGTAATCTGAAATTTCTTTGATCAATACAAAGTACTTTTAATTCTTGAGGTATGAGCATTGGACGCATAAAGTTACTCATCTGAAAAGTGAAAAAGAAAAGAAAAAACTCCTTGGGTTTCTACTTCTACTGTTTGTAGAGGCTCCACAGCCCCGGTATTTGTCGTGTAACCAAACATAGTCACTGCACATTGCTCAAATGCTTCCTCCAGAGAATCTTTCCATGCATGTAACTGGATATCCGCTGTATGATCCAAGTACTCATAATTCCTACTGACTGGAGGATGCTTGGCCTCGATCGCCTTCTGTTCCTCAGTCAAATTGTAATCTCTAACATCTCCCCTTCCTGTGCCATGACTGCCCTGCTTGATATTGTTGGCTAACACTTGAATGCCCTTAGAACCTTGTAGACATTACTTTGTTATCTTCTGACTTTAAATGTTGCTTTCAGAGGATAGTCTGATATTTTCCCTCAATTTTTAATTTGCTTTTTGTGTCTTCTGACTGTGATTTCTTTGTTGACAAAATTCTTTAAGAGTAAGATGGCTCAGTATTGAACGTTATTTGTCAAATTATCTTGGGACATAGTTTCTTATGAAAATTGGCAGATTCTGGTTTTTCCTTTAGTTATTAGGAAATTTTTTAGACTATAGTTTGAAATAACCTTTTCACTTTCTTTTTCCTTACTTAGTCACACTTAATAATCTTATGTTAGATATATGTTTGTCTTTCACATTTATTAGTTATTCCTTAGTTGCTTGACATTTTTTTTTTGGGAGGGGGACGCATAATATCCTGTAGCTTATCATGAAGAGAAAGAGCTTATTTGAGATAGGTGAGGAGACATTCTTAGAATAACTCAGTTTTTTCTCTGTAAGACTTTGTTAAATATTTTCTACCAAGTTCATTCTATCTCATTAGACTACAGACAGTTCTCATAGGGAAATGTGCTAAGGCTTTGAATTATTTTCCTCAGTCATTTAAGGGAGAAGAGTAGTAGAGTTTACTTCCGTTGTAGTGAATCAGCCCCATTTTTCAATTTCTTGCTTCACTGGTATTTGTTCTGTAGGTTTCTCTGGCATCTCCAGTTAGAAGAGGAAAGAGGTAATGTTACCTACTCAGTTTGTTTCTCTCCATATTTGAAGCCATTAAGAAAATTATCAGAATTTTGTCAACTTACCAATATTGTTTTGGGGGCATGGGGACATGATTAAGAACTGAGCTTTGTTGCTCCCTCAATTCTAGAACCAGTTTGTTTTTGTTCCCCTTGGCAACCAATTTTTTAATGTTTGGTGATTTATGGTGTGTTGCTTAAATTGTTTCATTATTTTTAAAAATTATTCTTTGTTTATTTTTTTTTGCTAATTTGTTTTTAGGAATTGAAGGAAAGAAAACAATATGATAGGAATATCAGCCTACCATCCTAACCTAGAATCTGCCTTTTAGTGCACTTTCTAATTAATTATGGAGAAGTTTTTCTTTTTTTTTTTTTGTAACTGTGGGCTAAGATTGTACTTTTTTAAATTTGAAATTTAGTGATTGTGATGGTGGGTGGTGTATGTGTTATTTTCTGTATGAGTGAGAGAGAATGATGAAGGAGTAAACTAATGGAATTGGTGTATGAATGAAAGAGAATGAAGAAGGTGGAAATGTGCTATTGAAAATTGAAGAAATATTTCTAAAGCTCTGTTGTGCAAGAGATTAAATTGATTTGATCTGAACAGTATATATATATTCATTTTAGGTAAGGAATGATGGTGCCAACTGTAGCTAATATTTCATGAATCATTATCTATATCAGGAGCTACTAGAGGTGTGTAGAAGTATTAACTAATTTCATTCTTAAACCTCAGAGGGAGTACTGTTATTATCCCCCATTTTATAAGTTTGAAAATAGCATAAAGCAGAAATACCCTAGAGTTACAACTTGGATTCAGATCCAGGTAATTTGTCTCCCAATTACTAATCTATGAATTTGGTTCAAATTTTGTTAGATTTCTATAGAACGGGTGAAATAGGATTTAGTCCTGGAATACATTGCAGTTTTATTCTGAGCTATTTAATTTTATGTTTTGTCCAATATAGTTTTTCATTTTAATCATTATTGTGCTGTGAAATTTGCAATATTTTCTAGTAATATTGTAAGGTGTTATAATAAAAAATCTAAAACCAGAAATATTTCCAAATGAATGTTGTTACTTAAAATTTTAGTGGAGAAAATATATTTGTTCATCTCTTCCACATCACAGTCCATTTTAAGAGAGGAAACTTTTATTTTTTCTTATGTCTACTAGTATTTACCCTTTTTCAGCAAACTTCAATTCATTGAATCATGCTCATGTTCTAACTAACAGCTCTTAAACAGTACTCTGGCCGGGCGCGGTGGCTCACGCCTGTAATCCCAGCACTTTGGGAGGCTGAGGCGGGTGGATCACGAGGTCAAGAGATCGAGACCATCCTGGTCAACATGGTGAAACCCTGTCTCTACTAAAAATACAAAAAATTAGCTGGGCATGGTGGCGCGTGCCTGTCATTCCAGCTACTCAGGAGGCTGAGGCAGGAGAATTGCCCGAACCCAGGAGGTAGAGGTTGCGGTGAGCTGAGATGGCGCCATTGCACTCCAGCCTGGGTAACAAGAGCGAAACTCCGTCTCAAAAAAAAAAAACAACAAAAAAAACAGTACTCTGCAGGATGAGGCATATTTTTTTGAGACAGCTTATATTTTAAAGGTTATCTATATTCAGCCTTGAATTCATGCTTCACATTCTTAAATAATATAACTGAATTTTATCTACTGCTAGTTACCTTCTTCTGCAAAAAAGAGATGTTGTCATGTATTTAATGTACCATTTGTGGTTGTAAAGTAGCTGACTTGTTTCATTTATTATCAAAGGATTGATGACAGTGTAGATCTGAAATGTGCATCTCTTTAGTTCATTGCATGGTTATCATTGGAGTGGGATATCCTTGACATTTTATGCTTTTGATTTAGGGAGAGGTTCCATGAGTGTCATGACATCATTGATTAGTTGTACATCTTAACTTTGTTTCTTAATCTTACAGTTATAAACAGAATATTTATGAAAAAATTATGTCATGCAGAAACATTGTACCTTGTCTTGTAAACATTGTGCATGTGTGAATATACACATTTCCTGGCAATCATTTTGGTAAAGAATGTTGTCTTTCAGAATTTTAGTTTCTTTAAACGAATGTGATATATCTGTGTCACGTATGTGCTGATGATTATTATTAATGATTTTACTTGTAGGAATCTATGCAAGTTAAAATCCTCTTCAGCAAGTATTTTCAAATGTTCTTTGGGCCAGTGTTGCTTTGAATTTTATCTGACATACTGTATAACTCACTTGTTATTAGCTTCAGTGGAACTGCAAACCAGGTAGTCTCTTAGTTTTTTTGAAGTAATAAAAATGGAGACTTTTAAAAATTAAATAAAGACCATGAAAGCACTGATTATTATTATTATTATTACTATTACCATTTTGAGACAGAGTCTCACTGTGTCACCCAGGCTGGAATGTAGTGGTGTGACCTTGGCTCACTGCAGCCTGAGCCTCCTGTATTCAAGTGATCTTCCTGCCTCAGTCATCCGAGTAGCTGGGACTACTGGTGCACACCACCATGCCTGGCTAATTTTTGTTTTGTGTTTTTGTAGAGATGGGGTTTGTCATATTGCCCTGGCTGGTCTCAAACTCCTGAGCTTGTCTCCCAAAGTGTTGGGATTACATATATGAGACACTACGCCTAGCAAATATAGTAATCTATATATATTTTTTTTAGATGAAGAATTAAATGATTTTTTTCCAATTAGCAAGCAAAATATTTGTATTAAGATAGTGACCTTTTTTGTTAGTATTTTAAAATTTTTAAAAATAAACACTTCTATGGTACCACCTATTTTTCTGAGTTCTTAACAAATATAAAGTAAATTATCATAACAATTCTTTGAGGTAAATGTTACTATCTTCAGCCTAGTTTTACAGATGAGAAAACTACAGTGAGACTGAATGATTTGTTCTAGGTCATATAGCTAGTATGTGGTGAAGGCTGACTTTGAACCTGGGTAGTCTGATACCCAGTATAAACTGATGATCTCTTTGCTATGTGGCCTCTCTAACATCATCTATTAAGTGATTTAGTACACATTATCTCATTTCAGTGCCAGAACACATCTTTGATGTATGCAGGGTAGATTGAGAGAATGTGATTTAGCTTTCATTACAGAACAATTAAATCTATGATTCTGAACTACAACCCAGGTTTCCTAACAATAACCCAGTAGAGTCTGTCCTCATAGTGTCTGTCGACTTCATGGCAGTGTTTTGCTATTGTGATAGTATATTATTGAACATATTCTTTATATTCTTGACAGTTCTAAAGGAATGTGAAACATTTTAACAATTACATATTTTAGTGTTATATATTTTAGGGTAATATAAATACCAATTTTAGAGCTGATCATGATAAATTTTCCAATTTTTCTCTGGAGTTCAAATTTTCTCAGGAGTTCAAGACCAGCCCGGTCCACATGGTGAAACCCCGTCTCTACTAAATATACAAAAATTAGCTGGGCATGGTGGTGGGTTCCTGTAATCTCAGCTACTCGGGAGGCTGAGGCAGGAGAATCACTTGAACCCATGAGGTAGAGGTTGCAGTGAGCCAAGATCGCGCTATGGCACTCATGGCACTCAAGACCTGGGCAGCAAGAGCGAAACTTCATCTCAAAAGAAAAAAAAAAAAAAAAACGTTTATTTTTCTATCCATGATGAACATTGATGCAAAAATCTTCAGTAAAATACTAGCAAACCGAATTCAACAGCATATCAAAAAGCTTATCCATCTCAATTAAGTCAGCTTTATCCCTGGGATGCAAGGCTGTTTCGACATACACAAATCTATAAATGTAATCCATCACATAAACAGAACCAAAGACAAAAACTGCGTGGTTATCTCAATAGATGCAGATAAGGCCTTTGACAAAATTCAACAGCCCTTTATGCTAAAAACTCTCAATAAACTAGGTATCAGTGGAACGTATCTCAAATAGTAAAAGCTATTTACGACAAACCCACAACCAGCATCATACTGGGTAAAAACTGGAAGCATTCCCTTTGAAAACTGGCACAAGACAAGGACACCTTCTCTCACCACTCCTATTCAACATAGTATTGGAAGTTCTGGCCAGGGCAATCAGGAAAGAAAAAGAAATATGAAGGGTATTTAGACAGGTGAAGAGGAAGTCAAATTTTCTCTATTTGCAGACAACATGATTGTATATTTAGAAGACATCACCTCAGCCTAAAATGTTTTTAAGGTGATAAACAACTTCAGCAAAGTCTCAGGATACAAAATCAACGTGCAAAAATCAGAAACATTCTTGCACACCAGTAACAGACAAACAGCCAAATCATGAGTGAACTCCCATTCGCACTTGTTACAAAGAGAATAAAATGCCTGGGAATACAACCAACAAGAGATATGAAGGGCCTCTTCAAGGAGAACTACAAACCACTGTTCAAGGAAATAAGAGGGGACACAAAGAGATGGAAAAACATTCCAAGCTCATGGTTAGGAAGAATCAATATCATGAAAATGGCCATACTACCCAAAGTAATTTATAGATTCAATGCTATCCCCATCAAGCTACCATTGACTTTCTTCACAGAATTGGAAAAAAACCACTTTCAACTTCATATGGAACCAAAAGAGAGCCTGCATAGCCAAGACAATCCCAAGCAAAACAAACAAAGCTGGAGGCTTCACGCTCCCTGACTTTGAACTATACTGCAAAGCCATAGAAATCAAAACAGCATGGTACTGGTACCAAAACAGAGATGTAGACCAATTGAAGATAACAGAGGCCTCAGAAGTAATGCCACACATCTACAACCATCTGATCTTTGACAAACCTGACAAAAACAAGCAATGTGGAAAGGATTCTCTATTTAATAAATGGTGTTGGGAAAACTGGCTAGTCATATGCAGAAAACTGAAACTGGACAGTTTTCCTTACACCTTATACAAAATTTCCTTACACCTTATGCAAAAATTAAGTCCTTACACCTTATACAAAAATTAACTCAAGAGGGATTAAACACTTAAACATAAGACCTAACACCATAGGCAATACCCTTCAGGACACAGGTATGGGCAAAGACTTCATGACTGAAACACCAAAAGCAATGCCAAAGAAAGCCAATATAGACAAAAGGGATCCAATTAAACTAAAGAGCTTCAGCATAGCAAAAGAAGCTATCATCAGAGTGAACAGACAACTTAGAGAATGGGAGAAAATTTTTGCAATCTATCCATCTGACAAAGAGCTAATATCCAGAATCTATAAGGGACTTAAACAGATTTACAAGAAACAAATTGCTAGTGAGAATGAACACTACTTCATTATAATCACGATAGTTTTAATTTTTAAATGTCTATTTTTTTTTTCCTCATTCAATCTATGTTAGTGATTTTCTTACTGATTTGTATATGGCTTTATATGATAAAGGTATTCTCTTTTGTTTTATTTGTTGCAGTATTTTCTCTCAGAATTTTGTTTTTATGGTGATTTGTATTATACATTTATAGTCTCTTAAATTTTAATACGATCTGATTTAAAGTTTTTTTTTTAATTGCTTTCCTTATTTATTTATTTATTTGGTTTTGTCAAATGTTTTATTGAATGTAGACATCTGGAGTACTGTAAAACATGCATTATCTGTAGATTCAAAAAGGAGCAAGCCACATTGTCCTCACTGTCAAATGTGTCAGGCTTGGCATACATGATGGAGATTAATGAAGTATCATGAGAGTAATATGGTTCCTGAAAAGCTTCTACAATTTGGAGTAGGGACTTAATCACGTGAAAGGCAAAGCTGTTCACATTTAATGAACTTGCATTTCACTGGCGGTACACAGTATTTTAATGTTAAAACAAATAAAAATAGTTTGTCGAAGATTCCCATCTCCCCAACTTTATTTGTCCCATCGATTTTCAGAAATTTTAATTAAAAAAAAATCATATGCCTTTTGGAAGTTGTATGTTTATCTGAGCAATAACTAAATTTTATTTCTTCTTCGGTTGTTGAGGTGTGTTAAATTTAAAGAAGATAGTATCTCCATCTTCAACAATATAATTTCTGCCTTGTTATTTGTACTTTCCAGCAGCCTTGACTGCATTTTCAGAACCTTCCTCTTTAAAATCTTCATATTTCATTACTTCAGCCATAATGAATCCCTTTTCAAAATCTGTGTGGATCTTTCCTGCAGGCTGAGGAGCCTTAGTCCCTTTCCTGATGGTCCGTGCACACACTTCATCTGGGCCTGCAGTTGAAAAGTATTCTAGTTGGAGTGCTGCAAACCCATCCTTAATGATCTTTGGCAAAGCGCTTTGTGTCATGTTCACTTCCAGATACTTCTGTCTCTCCTCAGCACTCAATTCTTGCAATTTAAGTTCCAAGGCCCCACTAAAAGGAATGACCAAGGCACCTGGGTCATACTTATCCAACCACTCTTTAATTTTTACCAACCATTTGTTTTTCTTTCGAATGTAGTCTTTTTCAGAAAGATTAACCAAGTAGACCATTGGTTTTGAAGTAAAAAATAAGTGTTTATTCAACACTTCAATCGCTTTGTCATTCCAATCATGATAGAAGCGAACAGGTTTCTTTTGATCTATAACCCAGGATTTTACTTTGCACATTATATCATATTCAGGTTTTAGTTTTTTATCTCCTCCTCTCACAACCACCTTTTCTAGTTGATCTATAATGGGCCCAATCATTTCCTCATCTTTAAGCTGTAGCTCTTCATGTATTATTTCTATATCTCGAATAGGATCTACCCTTCCTTCAGCATGCGTGATATCTTCAAAAGCACGTGTTAGGTGAAAAATGCCATCACAGGCACTAATATGAGATAAAAAAGCATTTCCCAGGCCCCACCCATTGTGAGCTCCTTTCACAAGGCCAGCGGTATCCACTACATTTAGAAAGGCAGGAATTTTGCTTGCTGGTTTGTGGTACTGGCAAAGAAAGTCAAACCTTTCATCTGTCACAGGTACTCTGCTCTCATTAGGATCAACAGTGCAGAATGGGAAGTTTTCTGCTGAAGCCTGACTATTGGTTAATACATTGAAGAAAGTAGATTTCCCAACATTTGGCAATCCAACAATACCAATTTTCAGTGAGGTTCCAAATCTTCCAATGATTGGGGGTGGTTTAATTCCATCACCTCCCTTCTTAGAGGGCATCGTGCTCGGCCTGGGCGATGACACGGGGTCCCAACGGCAGTGAGAGAAAGGACCTGCTGGCAGCCAGAGGCGGGGATGAAGGAGGAGAGAACGCAGGGCACACATGCCGTGGCGGAACGGCTGCTTTCCTTATTTTTAGGTTTAGTAAATTATTTTTCATTTCAAGGTTATTTAAATGTTCTCTTGTGTCTTCTAGATTTTCTGTGGTTTTTATTTTTGTTTATTTTTTTTTTTTTTGAGAAAGGGTCTTTTTTGCTCAGGCTGGAGTGTGGTGGTATGATCATGGCTCACTGCAGCTTTGACCTCCTGGGCCCAAGTGATCCTTCCATTTAACCTCTTGAGTACTTGGCCCCACAGGTATGTGCCAGCATGCCTATCTAATTTTTTCTTTCTTTTTTTGAGATGGAGTCTCTCTTTGTTGCCCAGGCTGGCATGCAGTGGCATGATCTCTGCTCACTGCAACCTCCGCCTCCTGGGTTCAAGTGATTCTCTCACCTCAGCCTTCCGTGTAGTTGGGATTACAGGCACCGGCTATCATGCCCACTTAATTCTTGTTTTTTTAGTTGAGACGAGGGTTTCACCACGTGGGCCAGGCTGGCCTTAAGCTCCTAACCTCAGGTGATCCATCCGCCTTGGCCTCCCAAAGTGTTGGGATTACAGGTGTGAGCCACTGCACCTGGCCGCTAATTTTTTAAAAAACTTTTTGTAGTGACGAAGTCTCACCATGTTGCCCAGGCTGGTCTCAAACTCCTGGGCTGAAATGGTCCACTGCCTCAGCCTCTGGAGCAGCTGGTACTAGCGATGTGTGACACCATGCCTGGCCATTTTTTAATTTTTTGTAGAGATGGGGGTTTCACTATGTTGCCCAGGCTGGTCTCAAACTCTTGGGCTCATCTGACCCTACCACTTCGACCTCCCAAAGTGGTGGGATTGCAGACGTAAACCACTGTGCCTGACTGATTTTTAATCTTTAAAATATTTGAGATATTTTTATTTGTATTATGTAAGACTCTGATCTGATTTTCTTTAAATGCTTTTAATCAGTTTCTCCAAAACTGTCTTTACTTGGTTTGCCAAGCTTGCTTTATCACATATGACTCTCATGTTTGTTAGGGGCTATTTCAAGGGATTATATTGTGTTTCATATTTTTTTTTCCTTATTGTCCATCATGCAGTCATTAAGCTAATGGCATATTTTTGTTTTCTTTTTCCTTTTTATTATGTAAATATAAAAATATATAAAAGTAAAAGGAAAAGTATCATAAATACCCACTATCTAGATTTAACAATTTGCTTGATTTTTATTTCGTGCTGAAGTGTTTTAAAGTGTTTTCATACTTTAGTATGAATCTTTAAAATATGAGGATGTTTTCCTATATAGTTACAACATCATTATCATTTTTTAAAATAAGTGACAATAATTCACAAATGTGTTCTAATACCTAATACCCTGATCCCTAGTTGTTTTAAAAGTGTCTTTACTACCCTAACTCCTTTGACAAGTATCCATTGAAGGACCACACATTACAAATAGTTGTTAAATTTCTTTAATTTTTTTTATTTTTATTTATTTTTTTATTTTTTTTGAGACGGAGTTTCACTCATGTTACCCAGGCTGGAGTGCAATGGCGCGACCTCAGCTCACCACAACCTCCGCCTCCTGGGTTCAGGCAATTCTCCTGCCTCAGCCTCCTGAGTAGCTGGGATTACAGGCACGCACCACCATGCCCAGCTAATTTTTTGTATTTTTAGTAGAGACAGGGTTTCACCATGTTGACCAGGATGGTCTCGATCTCTTGACCTCGTGATCCACCCGCCTCGGCCTCTCAAAGTGCTGGGATTACAGGCTTGAGCCACCGCGCCCGGCCTAAATTTCTTTAATTTTTAAAAAAAATGTTAGGACAACCAAAGCTGACAGAAATTTCTCAAGTACAGTACAATATTTTAAAAAAATCTGAGATATAATTCATATAATTTACAATTCACCCATTTAAAGTGTATAATTTGTTGGTTTTTAGTATATTTAGAGATGTGCCACCATCACCACAATCAATTTTAGAGCAATTTAATCACCCCAAAAAAGAAACCGTGGACCATTTATTATTCACTCCCCATATGTCCCCAAATTACCCCTAGACAGCCATGAATCTGCTTTCCATATCTATTGATTTGCCTATTCTGCTGATTTGATAACATTGTAATAATGGTTTTATATGATATGTGTTTGGTGATTGACTTGTTTTACTTAACATAGTATTTTCAACTTTCATACAAGCTATAGGTCTTCTGGGGATGAAGGTGAGATTTTAGGATGGGACACTTTCTGGAATTGAGTTCATTTATGTTTCTTTGCATCCTATCATTATTAGTGTTGGAGCAGTAATTTCTTGCAACTTTTGTACATCCTACAAAATGGAAGCCAACATCCATCTAAATTTTTTAAATTTAAATACTGTTTTTAAGATGGAGAATAATTCATAGTTCTAAACATACAATAGCATTTACAGGAAAAACTTTTCTGTATTAGGAGAATCAGTGTTATTAGTTTCTTGTGTTCTCCTCTGCCCCTGAAATATTTTATACAGGGCATACAAATATGTTTTGTGTTATTTTAAATAGATTAATGTATAATATACATACTGTTGTGCACCTTGCTTTTTTTCTTTTTTACTTAAAATAACATCTTCATGTTACCATGTACTGAGCTTTCTAATTTTTTTTGTACTTTGTATAATAATTCAGTATATTTTTGTGTATCTCTATATTTAATATAACAGGTCTTCATTATTTGACATTTATGTTGTTTCCATTCCATGGTATTATGTACTACTGTTTATAGTTTTTTATTCTCCATTTTGTTCGTATATATTCTGTTAGGTAGCTATTGAATTTTACATTTTTCTTTATCATCTATTAAATTATCTTATTGTTTCCTTAATGTCATCCATAAAAATAATGCTGTATATTGGCAGATTTTTAAAACTCATCTTACATTATGCGGATAAATTCTATCAGAAGGGTTTTTTTTTTTTTTTTTTTTTTTTTTTTTTTTTTCTGTCACCCAGGTGGTAGTGCAGTGGCCCAGTCTGGACTGACTGAAACTTCTACCTTCTGGGCTCAAGAGATCCTCCCATCTAATCCTCCTGAGTAGCCACCATTTTGTATTTTCTGTAGAGATGCAGTTCTCCATGTTTCCCAGGCTTGCCTAGAACTTCTGGCCTCAAACAGTCCTTCCATCTGGGCCTCCCAAAATGTAGGGATTACAGTCTTGAGCCAACACCTCCCACCCTAGGATATATTTTTTTAACATAATAATTTCTAACTTTTAAAAGGATTTTTATAACTATTTAAAAAGTGATCTTGGTTTTCTTTCGTTATATGCTAATGTCATGAAATAAATAGATTGGCCATTTTGTTTTTTTCAAAGGGCCATGCCTGGGACTTATTTATCTATGGGAATAAGTTAATTGTTCTCTAATTCATTTGTAACTGTTGTTAACTATATTATTTCTCTCCTGCATTTCTTTTGTTTTGGTTTACATTTATTTGAATGCTTAGTTTCACTTCTTTTTAAGTAATTAAACCAAGTAAGGGTATGATTTTTCTTCTATTAACCACAGTGGTTTCATCCTTCTTCTTCTTCTTTTTAAAAATGATGTCTCATTTTTATGTTGTAAATAGTCTTTTGTGATGTTGTAGTTAATTTCCAAGGAATTTGTCCTTTATTATTAGCTCAAATTTTGTTATTCTTTTCTTATTTTGTTACCTATGAGCAGATAGTATAGTCTGTAGTATTCCTAACTTTGACGTTTATTGAGGATTTTTAGCTGGCCTAATTTGATACTATGTATATGTTTATAGGCTGTTATGTATGTGTAAAAAAGAAGAACTATAATAAACCACAACATTCTCATCTATAATCATGATAAAATTTCCATTAAGATATTTTAGAACTCAGAGAAATGATTATCAGGCCCTTTGAAAAAAATAAATTAATATTCTAGTCTGTTCTGCAAGAAGATCAGGAAGGCATGATTAGCTCTGTGAAAATTAAATGTGGAAATTGTATTATGGATCAGGTATCAGAACACAGCATAACATATTTTTCATATGGTAAAGTTATAACATAACTTTCATATCTAAAGATAATAATTTTCTGGTGTTTAAAAAATACTAGACAATGCCAAAGGAATATATTTTTAGATTCATTTTAGATATTTCTACAATGAAAAGTTAACAAACATTAAAACAGAAAATGAAGTTAGAAAAAATTTGGGTGAATAATATAAATTTTGATAATATCAAGATTCGTAGACAACTGGGAAAGGTATGACCAGGAAGGAGCATACCAGTTGTAATGAGAAAATGCAAATTAAAGTGACAAACCTATTCAAATAGTTTTTCTATCAATGGATGAACAGATAAAAAAGTGAGTTTTTCATACAAGAAAACATTACTCATGTTTATGTACTTGTATATGTAATATAATGTGTGCTGGTATATATTATATATTTATATATGCATGTATATAAATTCTAGAATTTGAAATCACAAGTTGCAGTAAAAATAAAACTTATGTCAAAGATTTGTTATAAAGAAGAAAATATAATTCTCCAACAAATATTATTTTCAACAAGTTTTATTAAATATTCATTTAATATTTTGATTGGTTTTTCTATTTAGACCCATAATATTACCTATTTTGTTTCATATTTAATGTTAATTTATAACTTTTGTTAGGATATTAATAGGTCTAGGTTTAAATATTTATAAAAATATTTTATTGTTGCTTTGGGGTTAAAACTGTAATGTATTCTTAAGCTATAGATTTTTCAGGATCATATGTATTATGCATGTATTTTTGAATTCTTGGTTTTTTATTATTGGTTACTGCAAATTTCTTGATACTTTTACATGACTTCCTGCATTCTTTATAAATCATGCTCAGCAGCCAGCTTCTCTGCATGATTTCTCTTCAGTAATTAAATTTAGCATTTTCAGCCACTGAAAAATTCGTTGGCCTTTGTGTTCATTTGTGTTTCCTCATGCGTAAAATGTAAGACATCCACATATTTTTAATTCTTTTAGAGTACCATTTTATGGGCTGAGTTTGGCAGTTATGTACTGCGAGTGGTTTGCTTTCTTTCACCTTAAA